ATTGCAAATATTCCCAAAACTGATCGAGTCGGGGATAACGCTTCATTCATAAAAAGTGATCAGAATCTCGAGGACAACGCAAATCTATAGAAATATACAGGGCGTCGCATTTAAAATAAGTGTCATTTATTTTAAATGCGACTATATTACAGAGCCGCTTTAGCTGTTTTTTCCAATTACTGCTAGCAGCCCATATCCGCGGAACACCCTGTATAGTCTGTAAAGTAGGGTTTTAACCTAAGAAATCAGAGTGTTAAGGAAGGTAAGAAATTGGTGTTGAACTATTTTCCTTAGCAATTATAAAAGAATCGTCAAGAAAGAAAAATGTGAATTAAGAAGGCCACACTTGAAGCAACACGACTACAGAAAACGTGCAAGTGGCCCAGTAAATGAGTGCAACACAATAAAACCTACAAAAATAGGCATTAAAAAAGAGAGCAGAAAGTTAAAAAAGTTGATGTCCAAAAACAAATATTCCGTGTTTAGTAGCATCCCCAAAAGTGAATAAGAATGGTTGGATAGCGGGGTTGGAACCGGACTAAAAACTCCTTTTATCCTCTAAAATTGGCCGACGTTTCGCCCCTTCATTCGGATTCAAAGCGAGAAAGACAGAAATAAATATAAAATACTTTGTTAATTTGATTTCGTGCTTGAAATTGAGTAGAGCTGTCCATATGGCTTGTTTCTATTTGTGCGATATTTTTTGTTCGGTTTTAGGCTGCAGAATTTTGTAGATATTTATTTAATTTCCTCTTCATCTGTCTGTCTACCACTGAGAACAGTCGAACCTTTTTGTTTTCAGAGCGCAAAAGGCGTTTTTAATCCAGGCCCAACCCGTTCTCCAAGCATTCTTATGTCTAAGAGTCTTTATTTTGCTAAATTGAATAGAGAATTATATGAAGAAAGGAATGATAGCAACTTGGCTCAATCAAATTTTCCATCGGCAACATTTCTAGCAGAGTTTGCAATTTTTTTTATTAATTTGTCCAAAATTTTTAGTAAAAGCAGCCCCCATTCATTGGGTGAGGATCGATCAAGGATCAAATATCCTGAAGAAAAGTGCCTAGAAGCAACGCATTCTACAGAGATA